ATCCCAGATTCGCCTTTAGCCCAGTGAGCTACTTCCGGTGGCTGTGGGCCAACCGAGCATGCACAGTAGTGTCTTTTCTCTCACGGGCACAGGCAAATGCATGCGGCCGCACGCACGGAGCGCAGGCCCATGTATCATGTGATTGCTTTGACCAATCAGAGCGAGAGGAGCTAGAACGAAGCAGAGCGTAGTTGGAGCTAATGATTATAAAGCGTTTTTTAACACAACTGAAGGATTTTGAGCTGAGAAAAAGTTTATGATCTAAATATAGGTAAAAATCACCACAAAATCCAACATTTTTGAAAGCTGTAGGTTCCCTGACCAACACGAGCAGTTTGTGATTACATTGTGCTCTATGAGAAAAATCTTGTCTCGGCCCATGGGATTTTTTCCACTGAAGTTCCAGTGAGTGTCATTACATCAACTGGAGGCAGCTACAAGCAGCAACACCCTATCCAGTTATTTTAATAGATCCATGGCTGAACATTACTGATTGGTAAAGTATTAATAAACGCTAGTAGATAAACTTATTATATCGTGTACATTGCAGTGTAGAACAATACACTGAGGGGGCGGGTACGAAGTGCTTTCTGCTACGTCAGATGCATCATAGGTGTATCTGCCGCGTCATCGTTGTAGCAGCATTACTTTGTTGTCACGTAGGAGAGTGGCAATTTGTTTAAAAAAAAAAAAAAGCAGCATCAATCTAAAAACCACTTCGGCGACATATACAAGGCCCACACATCACTCTTAGAAGGTAAAAGGTCTGAAAAGTTGATTTTGCATGAGATGGGTCCTTTAAGACTAAAATGAGGATCACAGCAGCGTTTACAGAGAGAGAAGACAATTTTTCAATATAAAGTCAATTGGAGCCAGAGTGGATAGAGATGGAAGCGCCCCCATGCTCACTTCTTATTTGGAACACAGCGGCTGGTGGGTTAGCTGTGTTCATTTCTATATACTGTTTTTAATCTGCATATGTACATTTTCTATCATTGCCTGTATCTTTACATTCCCTGCGCATATTATCCAATTCCAGCTCACAGCATATGGACCTCCTGAAGCACAGCAGCTCAGGGTCATAAATAAAAGGCGTAAAAAAAAATGACCTTCTGCCTGGTGTGGTCCGCTCGTGCTGCTGTGTGTTCTGCTGCTGTGGCTGTGTTTGTGAGAGTGGAGATGTACTGGAGCGTGCAGGTTTAATGCTTTTTCATCAAGGCACCATGGGATCTACATCAGCAAAGCACAGGCCCCGGACCGGAGTGTGACAGAGAGCTGAGGTGGACCGCACTCACAGCAAATCACAAAAGGCATGCACTGTAAAATATATTAGGACGCATTAAAGAGCCCATATTACTCTGTTTTCTGATCTATGTTATAATGTTCTTTCTTTTCATGAACAGACTGTACCTGGAGTTGTGTTTTGTTTCATTCACGTTTAACAAGTCCTGCATATTTAAGCCGATTTCTTCTCTCTCTCAAAAAAAAACAACAAAAAACAAAAAAAAAAACACCTTCACTAAAATCATTTGGATAATTTCAACCTCGGAACTAACAATCTCTACTGAACTAAGGGTAAAATGGGAGCTGGTAACTTGAAAAATACCACTTCATGACATCACAAGATGGAGCAGAGCATTTTGAGTTTTAGACATGTAGACAGACTAATTATCAGAGGTGGGACCAAGTCTTTGTTTTGCAAGTCTCAAGTAAGTCTCAAGTCTTTGACCTTAAGTTCGAGTCAAGTTCCAAGTCAAATACAGGCAAGTTCAAGTCGGGTCTCGAGTCACTGGCTCATAAGTCCAAGTCCAGTCCAAGTCGTTTGATTTGAGCTTCAAGTCATTTCAAGTCTTTGAACCGATCTTAGATTTTTGCATTTTATATGACTTTTAAACTAAATTGTACTTAAAAAGTGTAGTGTTTTAAAATGTGTTTCCTTTTTAAATGTCTTGACAAAATCTTGTTGTGAATCATTACAGTCAGAAAAGAAAGAATTAAGGTTTAAAAGTGCTTAATAACAGATATTTGGTTGTGTATTCTGCACTGAAATGGAAGGATCATGTTCTCTGTAGTTCCCTCTGTTTTACTGTATTGTACTGTATTGTACTGTATATTACTGTAGTACATTTGAGGATACCATCTCACAGTACTTCAGTTCCATCCAAAGTTCCAAACAGAGAAGTGGGAGGGACATGTTCCAGTTTGTTTCTGTAAAATGAATTACCGCATGTATGAACTGTAAAGAGAAAAGTATTTTCATAAAACATAAATATATTTTTAATAGCATCAAGTTTTCTCAATTCACAGGCCTAAGTACAAGTCAAGTCCCAAGTCTTAGTCCATTTTATCAAGTCAAGTCTCAAGTCCTAAAAATAGTGACTCAAGTCTGACTCAAGTCCAAGTCATTGACTTGCACCTCTGCTAATAATAAAGCGTTCCTCAAACATACATGAATGAAACAAAATACAGACAAACAGGTATGTCTGTTAATAAGGTAAAAACGTTATATAACATGGCTAAATTATATTATTTTTTGCAGTGTAGTCCCCCTGTGTCTCCCTGAAATGTCCTCATTTGTGGGTCCTGGCAGCAGCTGTTAACTACAACATCCTCTCCATAACTAAGTATAAGTATAACTGCTCCTGTGGCATAGAGAATACTGCAGAACGTAGCCCTTTGACTTAATGCTAATTATTACTTTTTAATGTTTAAATACTAATAAATCCAAAAACTATACATTTATGGATTTATTATCTATAGTGTCCTTTTGAAACTAAATACAGAGCAAACACCTTAAAGGTGCACTGCGTAACTTTTCAACTGGGGGTTCATCACCTGCTTTTTTCCATGAATATAGAAGCTCTCTGTCTCCTCCTCTCTCCTCTCTCTTTCCCTCTGCTCCCTCTCTCCACCTCTCTCTCCCTCTGCTCCCTCTCGTCTCTGCTCCCTCTCTCCACCTCTCTCCTTCTCTCCCTCTGCTCTCTCCTCTCTCTCCTCGTCTCTCTCTCTCCTGTGCAGCTCTGTGCTTTGGGAGTGGACCGTCCATCGTCTTTAATTGATTTGTGCAGAGACAGAGGCAGACGAGGCTGAAGAGGCTGAAGAGGCTAATTCAGTGTGAGCACGAGGAGTAGATTAGGGCCTGACACTTCACTACAGCCCTGGAGATAATGAGAGACAGTAGCACTTATGGGCCAGACACAAGACACTGGAGAGGAACACTGGAGACACGAACGAGAGGAACACTAAAGCTCCTATATTACACAAAACTGACTCCTCTGAACTTGAAGTCATGTTAGAATGTTGTTACCTCCTCAAAAACAGACCTGTTGTTGTGTTTTCAACCCTTTATTATTAGTCTGTCTACATCTCCAAAGCTCAAAATGGTTTCCTTGTGGTGCGTGCAGCCCTGTTTCCAACCCTGATGTGTTTTTATTGAATTAGCAAGTCAAGCTCAAAAAAATCAATATTTAGAGGAACCACAATCAGACACTGAGTTATCGATGGGGAATTGAACCATCACCTCATTATATAGAAGATGCTACAATCCTCCAATGGCCCATCTCAAGACCACCACAGCAGCACCACCATCTGCCACTTCAGCCAGTCCATCTTCTTTGTTTTTTACAAATCATACGCTCCCTTTATATCATCACTGAGGCCTGTGAAGCAATCTAAACACTGAAGTTCATTTATTCAGTGAAAAAATGCTCTATGTAGTTTTGTAAAGGTGCCCTACTTGTCTCCATGGAGATACATTCCCTTGTAATGCTCCACATCATTAAACATATTCATCTCCATTGACAGAGTGATACAATAAGCATTTTAAACCACCTACCCAAATTACAGATCAGGTCTATGGAGAGGCTGGTGCCACTTAATGCCTCTGCTCAATTTAATTTCTCTCCAGTGACCAGGTCAGGAATCAGAATACACTAGAAGGTTCGTAAAAACTCTGGAAGTGCGAGTTCAGGCACCAGCCAATAAGCGACGAGCCATATATTTTCTGTTGGCAACGATTCCCGAGATTGAGGATTTAAAGCCAGAACAAAGAGAATGTTTGGTTATTGCCCTTCTTCCTACAGGATTTTGGAAAAGCTTAATATACCAGTTAGCCCCATACATCATGACCAAATAGCAGCGACTGATTAAATGATAAAAAGCACCCGCCTACCGTCGAGCGAATGAATTCTCACACTGCAAGGTCAGACTGTTTCCACAAAGTGAAACCTTCTGATGAATCAGGCAAATGGAGAGGTGACCCAGCTCACATTAAGAATATATGTATTTTTAAGTATTTATGGGCACTAAAATCACCTGTGATTAAATAAATGCAAGACAGATATGTGTAATGCCATACTGTGAAACATTCCAGACAGAGCAAAAGCATGTCCATGTATACAAGTGGCACCCACCACTAGAAAAGTTACATAGTGCACCTTTAATTATGTTCAGTTAAACTCTAAATGTTTAGACTAAATTAAATGAAACTGACAATAATTACTTTTTTTTTCCAAATTACATTTAATTCTTAACTTAGGCTTATTCATGGGTTTCAAAATGATGAAATGCTAGGACTGTTGCCATAGCAATTATATATTTTGACAAGATTAACCTTGACTATGATGTTTGAACACCTAGTCATTTTTCATTTTTTTTTATTATTATTAAGTTTATTTATTTATTAGTTTATATATATAATATTTATAACATTTTGGACTGCAGAGTGTGGAAAGAGGGGCGGGATGTGGACATTTTTTGGGGTTGTTTTGTCCATTTTTGTTCTATTTTTTCTGTTGTTCTATTTGTGTATTTGTTGTTGTTGGAAAATTTCTAAATTGAAAAAAATTAAAATGATATAAAAAATCTACTGAAAAGAAATTATATCTTTTGAGTGGTCACCGGTCCTCAAAATTGCACCTTATAACAGGAAGCTAAAACCCACAAATAGACAAATTTAACTTTACATTTGACTTGTGTTTGTGTAAAACAGCGTCACTTACCTTTCCGAGCGTCTGTGAATTGGCCAGACTTTCGGACAGTCGTGGGTAGGTGTAGGAGCTGTACGAATGGACCTGCGGAGGGTTCCTTAGCCCCCCGCTCGCCGCGTACGGGACATTTGGTTCTTGCAGCCCAGACCCCGACCTCGATCTCTGCCTGATCGCCGGAGTGGGACTAGTTTGCGAAACATAGGAACTTTTGGGCCTCTTCTCGTAATCATCTCGTAATCCTCCGTAACTCCAATCGCTATCTGGGTACGTGATCTGCTCGCTGTGTAGAGACGCTCGAGACGGCGTACCGACTGAAGTTTCCCTGTAGTCCTGGCTGGATGATCCCCCAACTGACGCCCGGTAGTACCCGCTGGACCCCACCCCGCTACCCACCGTCGAGGCTACTTCGTCGGCAGAACGCCCCTTGCTTTCCAGGTACGTATGGTAGTCCGGCGGGAGCTTGGCATAGTCAGACTTTTGGGGCATCGCGTCGGGATAAAAGGGACTACGGATCGGGTGAGAGTGACCATTTTGTTTGGTGAATCGGTAGTGCCTTCCCACCGCCCATTCGCCGTCTATGGAAAAGCTAGGTTTGCCAGGGTCCAGCACAAAGTCCCTGCTCGATGTGTCCAGGTCACAGGAGTAGCGGGAGTAGTAGTGGCTGAATCCATTCTCCTCGGGGCCGCCAGGGAGGGTCCCGATGAGGGGTTTGGAGGGGGGTCCAGCCTGGTGAGCGCCAGGGGGGCTTTCCTTTCGGAGAGAGTTGGAGCGGGTCACGGAAATGTTGTCGAATTCTTCCAGTAAACCGTTGATGGAGGCGTCTTTGGGCGGTCGGTTTCCTCGAACTATGGTCTGTGAAAGAGAAGGAAATTTAAATAATGTAAATATTTATAAAGGAAGTTATTCAAAGCAAAATAAAGCAAACGAGTTGTATTTCAGATGACATCGCAACACAACATTGAGTAGGACAAAAATATTTGAATATAGTTAAAGGATCCATATTACGCTACTTTCTTATCGATGTTTCTAATGTTGTTTCCTCATCAAAAACCCTACATAAAGTTTATTTAGTTTATAGAGTTTACAGTTACAATCTGTAGTACTGTAGTATCGTATTAGAAGTGTAGTAGTAGAAGTAGTAGTAAAGAAGTAGACATAGTAGTAGAAGTACTTGTAGCTGTTGTAGTAGTAGAAATGTAGTTGTGGAAGTAGTAGTAATAGTAAAGAAGTAGAAGTAATACTAGAAGTACTTGAAGTAGTACAGGAGTGGAAATGGGAGCAGAAATACTTGTAGTTGTTATAGTTGTAGAAGTGTTGTAGTAGTAGTAGTAGTAGTAGTATTAGTAGTAGTAGTAGTAATAGTAGTAGTAGTAGTAGTAGTAGTAGTAGTAGTAGTAGTAGAGAAGTAGAAGCAGTAGAAGTACTTGTAGTTGTTGAAATAGTAGAAATGTAGTAGCAGAAGTAGTAGTAGTAGTAAAGAAGTAGAAGTAATAGTAGAAGTATTTGTAGCAGAAGTGTAGCAGTAGAAGTAATAGTAGTAGAGGAGTAGAAATAGGAGTAGAAGTACTTGTAGTTGTTGTAGTAGTAGAAGTGTCGTAGTAAAAGTAGTAGTAGAGGAGTAAAAATAGGAATAGAAGTACTTATAGTTAATGTAGTAGTAGAAGTGTAGTAGTAGAAGAAGTAGTAAGAGAGAAGTAGAAGTAGTAGTAGAAGTACTTATAGTTGTTGTAGTAGTAGAAGTGTAGTAGTAGTAGAAGTAGTAGTAGTAGAAGAGTAGAAATAGGAGAAGTACTTATAGTTAATGTAGTAGTAAAACTGTAGTAGTAGAAGTAGTAGGAGAGAAGTAGAAGTAATAGTAGAAGTACTTGTAGTTGTAGTAGTAGTAGTAGTAGTAGTAGTAGTAGTAGTAGCAGCAATAGCAGCAGTAGTAGTAGTAGGAAAAGAAGTAGTAGCAGTAGCGTAGTAGTAGTAGTAGTAGTAGTGGTGGTAACAGCAGTAATAGTAGCAGCAGTATTAGTTATTGTAGTAATAGTTTTAATTGATGTAGTAGTTGGAGTAGGAGTAGTAGCAGCAGAATTAGTAGTAGTAGTAGCTTTAGTAGTAGTAATTGTAATAGTGCCAATAATATGCAGCAGTAGTGTTATAGTAGTAGTAATATTAGTAGTGGTCAAAGTTGTAGTAGCAGTATAGAAATAATAATTGTAGTAGCACTTATATGGGCGAAAATGCAGTAGTAGTAGCAGCAGCAGTAGCAGTAGTAGTAGCAGTAGTAGTAGCAGTAGTAGTCATAGTAGTAGCAATAATAGCATTGATATCAGTTGTAGAGGTAAAAAAAAGCCTCTTAGCTCTTGAGTGAAGCAGCTCCTGACAGTTTGATAAATGCAGCCCCTCGTGATATAAAACGTTCTATTTCACTCAGTGAGAAAAAAGGCAGAGACATAAATTGAAATTCCTGCTCAGCTGAATTTGACTAAAAACAAATTAATGCGCACAAAGGAAAATCACATTATGTTACAAGGACTCTGTGACAGGAACCAAATGAACTGCTCCCTGCCTTTTACTCACACAACCTGAGGAGATCTTCCAAAAGGTTTCTACCTATTTCAAACTATAATGGATAAAACTGAACAGCTAAATCTATTCATAGGATTACAACAAATAAGTAGCGTTCACGTTTTAAAAGCTCGATAAAAGGTCTCTTGATGATGTTTCTTGAGCTACTGTGTCGTTTCCTCATCACAAACAGACCCAGAGTTGTGTTTTGTTTCATTTCATTCACATGTTTAACACACAAACCTGCATATTTAAACTGAACTCTTCACTCAAACTCTCCACCTTGTGATGTCATGTGGTGATTAGGGGCGTGCTAAAATATCAAAATATCGTTATATCGTATCGTTTAATGTGATGATACAGTATCAATATCATGGGCTGCTGTATCAATATATCACCGAGAGTATTTTTTGGTGTATTTTACTCAATTATTTTGTTACAGTGTGGTTTCACTTCGTGGAAACTGTCTGACCTCGCAGCATTAGGATTTGGTCACTTGATGGTAGGCGGGTACTTTTTTTTATTTAACCCATCGCTGCTATTTGGTCGTGACGTATAAAATGCACCAAATCCCGTAGGAAGAAGGGCAATAACGTTTCTCCCCTTGATAAAATTCACCAAACATTCTCTTTGTTCCGGCTTTAAATCCTCGAGCTCAGGAATCGTTGCCAACGTTGTGTTCGTCTACATCTCCATCTCGACGCTTTGTTTACTGTTGTGCTGTACCACAAAAGGGACCCAGACAGGCGCGTTTAACGAGTTTGACGTCATGGCTTCACAGCTCTTCCCTGATTGGTCGGTGCGCGGTCTACAACGTCCGGAGTTTTTGCAAACCGTCTAGTGTATTCTGATTCCTGACCTAGTCGCTGGAGAGAAATGAAATTGAGTGGAGGCACTAGGTGAAACACTTTCATGCAACACATTTTGACATTTTCACTGTTTTGATGATTAAAATGTTTGTGTTTCATATTAACTTTGCACAAGAAGTGGTTTAACAAAGACTTTTAGTATCACAGCCTTTATTTTTATTGAACCACATTGAATTGATTTGAAATACATTGTATCGAACTGAATGTCCACTGTATTGAGATATGTATCGTATCGTGGCCTGTGTATCGAGGTATGTATCGTATCGGCAACTTCTTAATGATACCCAGCCCTAATTGTGATACAGGAAGTGCTCCACTGTGTTTTTAAACTCCATACGCCTCCACTAGAATCATTTGGATATTTTTCAGCCCTGGAATTGTCAATCTACCATTGAACTAAAGGTAAAAAGTAACTGTTAACCTGAAAACTACCACTTCATGACATCACAAGGTGGAAGAGCATTTTGAGCTTCGGAGATGTAGACAGACTAATAATAAAGAGTTACTCAAATGTTTGTGAATGAAACAAAACACAACTCCAGGTCTGTTTTTGATGCGGTAACAACATTCTGACATGACTTAAATTTCACAAGAGTCAATTTTATGTAATAGAAGACCTTGAAAGTCTTTTTAAATGACAACAATCACATCTCTGGGGTTGAATAATGTCACCACTTTATGTTGAAGGAGAAGATGTTTGTGTCAGTTTTTGTTTCATGTGCATAGGCCCAGTGATTACAGCCATATGAAACATAAACCAGGTCAACAAATCTACAATCTGAGAGTTAAACAGCAAATTCCACCATAGAATTCTGACCTATCCTCCATCTCAGACTACGTTTACACTGAAACGAATCCACGTATCACCGTATCATCATATCGGAAACAATTTGCGTCCAGACATGTCGTTTCTGTGTCCACAATCCTTCCTATCCACACGGCTTTGAGCATAATTGTTTATGTTTTACAGAAACAGACTGAAAACCACATGGCTAATTTGCATAAACTAAGTGCTCAAAAAACAGCTCGCTATTGTGCATTGATGCGGTCCAGCTTCTTTCGGACTAAAGGACACGACTCAGTGGAATATCAGTGTTCTTTCTGTGACAGAGGGGTGTTCTGCTGATGGTGAGTCTGTTCTGTGCTTCTATCACGTTGGAGATGATTCATGTTAAACTTTCCAGAGATTATATGTTTGCAGGTCGTACACACAGACCGTATATATGAATGGACATATGTTGTAGCCTCTTAGTGTTTTGGTGGTGAATTACTTCGCAGCACAGACCTACATCAGCGCATCAGTGTATCAGCATTTTTAGGTGTCCATGCAATGCTGGAGTTTTAATAATAATAATAATAATAATAATGATACATAACACTTGTATAGGGCTTTTCAAGATACCCAAAGACGCTTTACATGAGAAGACAAACGACGACAAACAAGAGAAAAAGACAGTAAATCTTGCTTAAATTTTTGTAATAATGAATGCCAAGAGAATCAACATCATACGTATTGAAGTAGTTATTTTGTGGTTTGTGGGCCAACTCAACCAGACTCACCAGAATAACACCAAACTAGAGGTAGGTTTGTCAGTGGTTGATAATCCAAATCCCTTTGTCACCGTGGACTTGTCAAATACACACCAGCATACGTTATAACACACTGTCCCATATTTCATAAAGCTAATCTACTGAACACACAGTTACGTGCAGGTAGCGTCATTGCCGGAATAATCCAATAGGTTTTGATGAGCATACCATGAAATTTCAAATCACTTTTTGACATGAAACATTTAACATTATAATACCAAACGCACACGGGCATATATAGGTATAATACATTCAATAATATGGGTTTCAGGTTGAGAAATCCACAGGTAACGTCAGCGCTTTAAGCCTGCGGTGCGTTTAAGGAGCTAATTCCTGCTCCGTTTCCCTCCCTGCAGATCACTGTCATTTTCAGTGGGATGATCAAAGCATATTAGTCGTGACTCGTGATGTGAGGATCTGAGAGGCTGGGAGTAGCTACGCATTTTGCTTTTTTAATCTTAAACAGAAAATTCCACCATATCATTCTTAGTATGTATGTTATATTTTATTTACTCATTATATTTATTCTGGTTTAGTCCTGGTTCAGTCCTGGTTTAGTCCAGGTTTAAATGAGTATTTAAATCATTAATAAATAGGGTTTGCAGCTTTAATATCAGGGAAGCTCTGATCTTCATCCTTACTCTACATAATTAAAATCTGGGCTAAACAAGGACTAAATCAATTCTGAACCAGGACTAAACCAGGATTCAACCAGGATTAAACCAGGATTAAATTAGGACTAAACCAGGACTAAACTAGGATTAAACCAGGGCCAAATCAGTACTAAACCAGGACTAAACCAGGGCTAAACCAGAATTAAACCAGGACTAGACCAGGACC